CACATCCTTTTCCGGTTCACTGCGGACGAGTCGCGCGATCTTATTCAGCGCTACCTCTCTGCCAATCCTGATCCGACGAACAACAACGTTATTGGATATAACAACAAGCGTTGCTGGCCCCGCGATTGCCGTATGCGTCTCATCAAGCATGATGTCAACTTGGGTCGCGCTGTGTTCTGGAACGTGAAACAAAGTCTCCCGAGGTCTTTGACCACTATCGAGTGGGAAGACACATTTGTTAGCGTATACTCGCAGAACAACCCTCAGCTTCTTTTCTCCATGTGCGGCTTTGAAATCCGTATTCTTCCCAAGATTCGGACGATGAGTGGAGAGCAGTTTTCGCTCAAGGATGCCGTATGGAACTTGACGAATGAGCAAACGAAGGAACGGACTGCCCAGGCCTTCCTTCGGGTTTCGGATGATGGTGAGTTCACTCGTACATGTTTGTTTTCCCTTCCGCTCACCCGTGGTTCATACAGGCGTCCAGGCATTCAACAACCGAATTCGGCAGGTTTTGATGAGTTCTGGATCCACGACATTCTCCAAGATTGTCAATAAGTGGAACACCGCCCTGATTGGCCTGATGACCTATTACCGTGAGGCGGTCATCCACACCAACGAGTTGCTCGATTCGTTGGTCAAGGCGGAGAACAAAATTCAAACCCGTGTCAAGATTGGGTTGAACAGTAAGATGCCGTCCCGTTTCCCGCCCGTCGTTTTCTACACGCCCAAGGTGTGTCTGTTTCTAAAATCCCGTTTCGATGCTAATCACCTTCCAGGAATTGGGTGGTCTTGGAATGTTGTCTATGGGTCACGTCCTTATACCGCAGAGCGATCTTCGATGGTCGAAGCAAACGGATGTCGCTGGTGAGCTCTTTCTGCGCCGAGGTCGAAAAGCAATTCATTTTCTTCCCAGTCACCCATTTCCGCGCCGGAATGTCGCACGAGGAGGATCAACTGATTCCGAATCTGTATCGCTACCTTCAACCTTGGGAGGCCGAATTTTTGGACTCGGCTCGCGTCTGGTCCGAGTATTCCATGAAACGGAAAGAGGCGAATGCGCAGAACAGACGGCTGACGCTAGAGGACCTTGAAGACAGCTGGGATCGCGGAATCCCGCGAATCAACACCCTGTTCCAGAAGGACCGACACACGTGCGTCTTGTTGTATGTTTTTGCTATGTTTTTGTTGACGTGTACTCCAGATTGGCTTATGATCGCGGCTGGCGTGTTCGAACTGACTGGAAACAGTACCAGCTCCTCAAACAGTGGGTACTTTCCCCCTCATCACTGTGCGTAGCTAAGCTCGGTCCATAGTAACCCCTTCTGGTGGACGTCGCAGCGACACGATGGTAAATTGTGGCAATTGAACAATTACCGTGTCGACGTGATCGCGGCCTTGGGTGGTGTCGAGGGTATCTTGGAGCATACACTGTTCAAAGGGACATACTTCCCGACGTGGGAGGGTACGTGCTCGTAGTTACTTCCTCTTTCCCACAACTTACGAATGACTTGTTAGGTCTGTTCTGGGAGAAGGCGTCCGGCTTTGAAGAGTCTATGAGATACAAGAAACTGACCAACGCTCAGCGGTCAGGTCTCAATCAGATTCCAAATCGGCGTTTCACCTTGTGGTGGAGTCCGACCATCAATCGCGCCAATGTCTACGTCGGTTTCCAGGTCCAACTCGATCTCACTGGTATTTTCATGTGAGTCCAATCGTCACTGATTCCACAACCGCGCTCTAAGTTCTGGCTACGCAGGCACGGTAAAATTCCGACCTTGAAGATCAGTTTGATCCAGATCTTCCGTGCGCATTTGTGGCAGAAGAGTACGCCTTCTTTGTTTTTACTACCTTGCTGGCGCTGACATACTGTTTCCAGTTCACGAGAGCGTTGTCATGGATCTGGTAAGCTTACCGTGAAGACCATGTCCTGTTTTAACTAACACACGAACGTAGTGCCAAGTCTTCGATCAAGAACTGGAGCCCCTCCAAATCGAGACTGTGCAAAAGGAGACTATCCATCCCCGAAAGAGTTACAAGATGAACTCTTCGTGTGCCGACATCCTCCTCTTCTCCGCATATAAGTGGAATATATCCCGGCCGTCGCTTGTCACTGACGTAAGTTAATGGACGCGTTCGTCCAATTTTTCTCCTCATTATCTTGTGCAGGTCAAGGACGTGCTCGATGGCACCACTAGCAACAAGTTCTGGATCGACATCCAGCTCCGTTGGGGTGACTTTGACACTCACGACATCGAACGGTATACTCGTGCCAAATTCTTGGACTATGTACGCGCATGGTTTATTGTGTTTTGCTATCCTAACCGCGTCTCAGGTCTCCGACTCGATGAGCATTTACCCCTCGCCAACCGGTGTCATGATCGGCATGGATCTTGCGTACAATCTGTGGTCTGCATATGGCAATTGGTTCCCCGGTATGAAGCCCCTCATCCAGCAAGCCATGGCCAAGATCATGAAGGCCAACCCCGCCGCCCACGTCCTGCGGGAGCGTATCCGGAAAGGGCTGCAGTTGTACTCCTCCGAGCCGACAGAGCCGTACTTGAACAGCCAGGTCAGTCTTTGGGTATTGCAGCCGGCCTCAGCTAAACATCTGGTCATAGAATTACTCCGAGTTGTTCTCGAATCAAATCATCTGTTGGTGAAATCTCTCCCTTCTTGTTTTTGTCTCATATGTTGCCCAGGGTTCGTTGACGACACGAATGTCTACCGTGTCACAATCCACAAGACGTTCGAGGGCAATTTGACTACAAAGCCCATCAGTAAGCCTCGCAAACCAGACATTTTACGATATCTCATTACATGTTATAGACGGCGCCATCTTCATTTTCAACCCCCGCTCAGGGCAGCTCTTCCTGAAGATCATCCACACGAGCGTCTGGGCTGGTCAAAAGCGTCTTGGTCAGCTTGCGAAGTGGAAGACCGCTGAAGAAGTGGCTGCTTTGGTTCGCTCTCTACCAGTGGAGGAACAGCCGAAGCAGGTTATCGTCACTCGCAAGGGCATGTTGGGTGCGTATCCAGCTTTGCCCTTCTTTATTTGATCTGATTCGATTTCTAGACCCCCTCGAGGTCCATTTACTCGATTTCCCTAACATTGTCATCAAGGGCAGTGAATTGCAGCTACCTTTCCAGGCCTGCATGAAAATGGAGAAGTTCGGTGACTTGATTCTGGTGCGCATGTTACTTACTTGGATCCCACGTATACTAACAACTCTCGCTAGCGTGCCACCCAACCGCAAATGGTGTTGTTCAGTTTATATGGTGCGTCGCGTTGCGATCGCGTCAGCAAAGTGATAATTCTGATGACATGCAACAGATGACTGGCTCAAGTCCATCTCAAGTTACACTGCGTTCTCGCGACTCATCCTTCTGCTCCGTGGTCTGCATGTCAACAACGAAAAGGCCAAGATTATCCTGCACCCGGACAAGTCCACCATCACCGAGCCGCACTTCGTCTGGCCCTCGCTCAGCGATGAGGAGTGGATCAAGGTCGAGGTCACCATGAAGGAGCTCATCCTGGCGGTATGCCTACCAGTAGCACTTAGGGATTATCCACTGACAGTGATCTCTAGGACTTTGGGAAACGAAACAGCGTCAATATCGCTTCCTTGACCGTAAGTGAAGTGCGAGACATTATCCTTGGCCAGGAGATAGCCGCGCCGTCGGTCCAACGACAGCAAATGGCGGAACTAGAGAAGAGCTCCGAGGCCCAGAGCCAGGTCACTGCGGTTCAAACGCAAGTGCAGCGTTTTCCCTACTGCGACATTTAGCTAACCGAATCCAACATATAGGTCGACAACCAATGTGCACGGTGACACGATCCAGACAATAACCAGTCAGTTTTACTCTGGTTCCTGCTAGTGCTATTGCTAACCAACGTCGTTTCAGCCACCAACTACGAGCAGACGGTGTTCAGCAGCAAATCCGACTGGCGGGTGCGGGCGATCTCCGCGACACACCTTCCGCTGCGTCTGCAGCACATCTACGTGTCGAATGACGATGTCAAGGACGATGCCGCGTCGTACACTTATGTTCTGCCGAAGAACATCCTCCGTGCCTTTATCACCGCGGCGGACCTTCGGACTCAGGTTGCGGCATTCCTGTATGGTGTCTCGCCGCCTGACAACAAGCAAGTTAAGGAAATCAAGGTGCGTCACTCATTTACTGTCTTCGTCTCGGCGGCTAATTTGTCGCATAGGCTATCGCGTGGGTCCCCCAGCGAGGCAGCAACAACAGCGTCGAGCTCCCGTCGCAGTTGCCCAAGGACGACTTCTTGCTCAAGGACCTCGAGCCCCTCGGATGGATCAAAACGCAGGCGCTGGAGATCAACCATCTCTCCCCGACGGACGTGACGACACAGGCCAAGCTGATGGCGGACCACCCTGAGTGGGGCTCGTCGTCGATCTGCCTCACCGCGTCGTTCACGCCCGGGTCCGTCTCTCTATCGGCGCATTCGCTGACGGTGGCTGGGTTCGAGTGGGGCCGGAAGAACCCAGACAACTCGCAGAACCCGCCAGGGTTCAACCCGAACATGTCGGAGCGCGTGCAGCTGTTGTTGTCGGACCGCATTCTTGGAATGACGCTTGTGCCCGAGGGCCGTGTGTGGAATTATGGGATTGGGCTCACGCAACTGTGGGCGCCGACGCTTGGGTATTCGATGACGCTGGATACGCCGCTGTTGTTCTGGGCGGAGGAGCATCGGCCTGCGGCGTTCTTGACTGTGCGTATTGCTCTTTTTATTTCTGCCATACTTTTGGCTGATGGATGCGCCCATTTTTTTTTAGTTTGCGAACTTGGAGATGGGCGAGGACAGCGCGGACGTGGAAAATAGCTTTGCGTAATTGCTTATGATTTTTTGAAAGTGTATTCTATATGTCGCCAAAAGTATGTATGTTAGCGATTGTTGCCGATGGGCAGTTTTATCTGCGGCGCGTATCGAGACGAAACGAGGCTCTTTTCCTCACCTAAGATAGATCAAAAAAGTCAGACACAGGGACTCGAACCCTGGACGGCCCGAAAACAGAGTTGAAGGGGCAATGTTACCACTACACCATGTCTGCAATCCCAATTTACTCTTTCATTCCTTGCCAATACCATCGGAGAGCAGGCGCCGTCTAGGATAGAATAGAATCAAATTAAAAAAGGTCAGACACAGGGATTCGAACCCTGGACAGCCCGACAAATGTGATTTAATGGGCTATGTTACCACTACACTATGCCTGCAACAGTCTTTTCATTCATACCTAACGTGATCGCCAAATTTCCTCGTCCGAGCAAAATAATTTTTCGAATGGGCAATGTTACCACTACACCATGCCTGCAATCCCATTTGACTATCTCATTCCATCCCAATACTACTACTATCGAGAAGTTGGTTGTCTTTGGACATCAAGGGCGTCTCTAAGACTCTCTATTCACGAACCACAGTCCTATAGATGTCCTTCGGCCTTCAAAGTTCTTGCCTCTACATAGGGAGCCTCGCTTTCCGGCCGCGGTTTCAGAAACTGCGCTTTCAAGGTCTAGGATAAAATAAAATAAGGTCAGACACAAAGACTCGAACCCTGGACTGCCCGATCAACAAGATTGGGCAATGTTAGCACTACACCATGCCTGCGATCCCATTTCGGTCTTTCATTCCTAGCCAACACGTAAATTTCCTCGTGCAACATAAAATAAAATAAAGTCAGACACAGGGAATCGAACCCTGGACTGCCCGGTCAACTGAGTGGACAATGTTACCACTACACCATGCCCGCAATCCAATTTCTGTCTTTCATTCCATCGTAACACGATCGGGAAGTTGGTTCTTTGGTCAACTCGTTTCTAATATTACACAGCCCTACATGACGACCAGCGCCTCGTCGGCCGGCCTTCAAGTTCTTGGCTCGCTTTCCGGCCGCGGTCAGGAACTGCCTTCAAGTTGATACTGGTCTAGTACTGGTCTCCGTTACATCCGGTCGGACTGCGCGCGCGTTGATCTTGCTTGACTCTCGTCCCACCCTGAATCCGAATCTGATGATAGTTAGACATTGGACCACGCCAGCATGTATTTTCGCTGCTCAGCTCGGACGTGGCGCATCGCGCCACGACGACGCTCCTATTAGGATTTTGCTTCGATTTCTGTGGTCTTCCATCGGTGTTTATTTTTCTTCGAATGTGGCAGTACGACTTCGACGCAAACCGGACATTGCAAGACTGCGAGAGACGCCCTGGTCAAGATATTCATAGCGCTGACGGGTATCATCCCCAAGGACGACGGCGGATGTCACAACGGGAGAAGGCCACAATTGCTTAGGAAGGCAAATAGATTCTGGATATACAGTACATCAACATCATTTCGAACCTCAACACCAGCTCATGATTTTGTGTCGAGTGCTACTAATCACAGGAAGGTGATGTCCTGACCCTTGGTGTATTGAGACTGAGTGGATTGGAGGAACTGGGAGTGCCTCAGGGTGGCAAAGATATTATCCAGAGGGGATAGCGGGTGATTTTCGCGGAAGCATAGGCGTCGCATAAGCCTGTCAAAGTAAATTGAAAATGGGTCCAAGAAAAAATATGAGTGATCCCTCTTGTACATGAACAACCGTCGCAGCAGCTTGCTCGGCCAGGCAAGCGACGTCCTCGCAGCCTGGGGCAAGGCTCGTCGCCGTCCCAGTGTCCGTCAGCCACCGCCGCCGCCGGTGCTCGCTGTCGAGCATGTCATCGACATTACTGCGCCGCCGCCGGACGAGGAGCTCGAGGAGCGCCAGCGTCTCCGCGACGCCGCCGCGCAGTCCATCGGGCTAGGGCCCCTGCTTGAGCCCACGGAGGAGGCAGAGGAGGAGCAAGAACCACAGGAAGTGGTTATTTTACCGCCATTTCCCGCGTCGTCGGCAGCACTCGCCCCCTTTGCCGCGCTCGCTGCCAGTCTGCCCAAGTATTATCCGCCCGGCAGTCTGCGCATCTTTGCCCTCGCCAAGCAGTGGAAGGCGCGCCATTTGCTGCTCTCCGTCCCCGCCGGCAGCGTCTCGCACCTCCATCTCTTCAAGGGGCCCGGCCCCGACGACCGCGAGCTCGAGCGCCTCGAGATCAACGCAGACAGCGTCGTCTTTGTCGCAGAGTCCCCCCCGGACCCCGATGCCCCCGCCCACATCGTCAAGGTCGCCGGCGCAGATGTTGGTGCTCACCGGAGGGACTGGAACCCGACCGACGACGCAGGTCGCACTGTCTGGCTGCTTCAGCTCACCACCCCCGCCGACGCCCAGCGCTGGATCTCTGCCATAAAGAGCGCAATATTTGATCAGCGGTCCGTTTCACTTGTTTAAATACAGTTAAATTGTGGTATTAATCCGACTCTAGCACCCAGCGCGCGGGCCTAGCGCCGAGTACGGTCGCGCCGTCCCCCAGTGAGCCGCGCGGCGACATGGACGTAATGCTGGAGATGCGCATACATGCCGCCAACACCCCAACCAGCCCGAATCCCGCCCTGACACCAACTACAGCTCGTCCACTCGTCCTCCCGCCCACCCCAACGTCCCCCACGGGCACGTACGCCGCGTCCCTCGCACCCTCCGCCTCCTCACGCTCCGTACGTTCCGTCGCTACCGCCCCCGCCCCCGGCTCGCCGTCCTCCAACCCCTTCTCCTCCCCCTTCTTCTCCTCGAATTCCACAAAGTCCGCGTCCCACAAATCCGGCTCGACGCCCGCAGGAGGCACCGCGCGCTCACAACCCGGCACCGTGCGCCCCGACTCGGCTGGAAGTAAAGGAGGGAGAGGCACGGCCGTCGCCGCACTCAAGGGGCTCTTTGACCGCGGGCGCCCGCGTTCGTCGTCCGCTTCCAGCTTCGCGAGCGTCGCGTCGACGTCGTACGCGCATTCACCCGTGTCGGTGCACTCTCACGCGCCATCACACGCGTCGTCGTACGGCTCAGCCGAGGAGATGGGACTGGGCGACTCGTTTGGACGGATGGGGAGCCTGCTCGCGAACGGGCACCACCCGAAAGGGGCGAACGGGCACGCGCGAGGGATGTTACCTGTTGGGGTCAGCTCTGCATCGAACAATACCAACACCAGCGTAAATGGTGTCGGTGCTGAGGGTGGCTTGGAGCGCCGCATCGTGGGCCAGCGGGACGACGTCCTCCCCACCCTTGCCCTGTCGGACGGCAACGGCAGTTTTATTCCCGAGCTGACCGAGTCTCCGGTGACGAATGGGCATGCGGAGGGCCAGGAGGTGCACGCGCCGAAGCGGCGGACGCTGAACTTTTTTGGTGGGAACCAGGAGGTGACGCCGTTACAGCCGCCGCCAAGGAGGAGGCGTTGGACAGGCGCGAGCGTAGGGCACGGCGCAGATGCGTCGACGTCGTCGATTTTTGCGGAGGAAGAGGAAGTAGACGCGCGCAAGTCCATGAGCGGGCACCCCTACGCCAACGGGTACGCAAACGGCACTGTACGCGGCGACGGCACCGCGAGTCCGAGCACGCCCGCCCCGGGGATCTACGCACATCCGCACGCGAACGGGAGTAGTGGGACCGCGGGGAGCTTTGGCGTGCGCTCGGTGCAGACGATGGGCGAAGACGGGCGGGAGGGGTCGGTGAGGACGAGGCCGGAGTCGGTAAGGACCGGGACGTATGAAGGGAGGGAGGGCTCGGTGAGGACGTATGAGAGCGGCGGCGGGCACAATAATAACCGGCTCAGCGTAAATGGGGCGGCGGGCGCGGACCACATCAGCGAGCGCAGCGTGTCGACGGGGACGGGGCGCTCGCGCGCGTCGAGCATGAATAATAACGCGAATGCGGGGCCGAATGGGAGTGGGGTGAGTGGGAGTGGGAGTGGAGGTGGAAATGCGACGAATGGGGCGAATGGGAAGAGCCGCCGATGGTCGAATCTTCCGAAGCGCCTCACGCCGCCTGCGTCCCCGCCCCCCGCGGCGCCACAGAGTGGGAGCATTCCGCATCCGTACGCCGCCGCCGCTTCCGAGCGTGAGCGCGAGCGCGACCGCCCGCCGAGCCGCAGCTCGTTCGGCTCTGCGGGCAAAAGCGGTTGGGCGCGCGGGAAGCGCGCGTCGGGCGTGAGTGTCGGCAGCGTTGGGGGCGTCTCAGGCATGAGCGCCGGGAGCGTGGGGAGTGTGAGTGCAGGGAGTAACGGCAACAGCGGGTCGCCCGCGCGCGCCGGGACGCGGACGTCTGTGCCCCCACCTCCGCGGCCGGCACCGACGGGCGCGCTACCGCCTGCGCCGGGGGAAAGCCCCAACGGGCGCACGTCGTTCCGCGAGTCGCGCGCGTCGTCGCTGTCTGTGTCCTTCCGCGACGCGCCGCCGCCAGGCCCCGTCGCGAACAGCAAGTCGCTCCCCATGAGCAACAAGGCGCCCCCCGCATCCCAGTCGCAGCCGACGCACACCAAGGGCGCGTCCTCCTCCTCCTCGACGTCGACGTTCCGCGAGTCGATGTCGATGTCGATGACGCCCCGCGCGCTGCGGCTGTCGCTGATGGCGCCGAAACCCCCACCTGCAGGCGTGCTTCCCCCGCGGCCGGACGAGGTGGTGGTCGCGCCGCCGCCGCCCGCGCACGAGCACCGGCGGGCGAGCACGGGTGCGCGCCCCGTGCGCAACAGCACGAGCAGTGTTAGCAACGCGTCGGGGCTTCACGCCATCCCCGCATCGCCTGCGTTCCCCCCGCCGCGTGGTCCGCTACCGCCCACACCCGCCCCCGTGTCGGCACCTGCCCCCGCGCCGACGCGCCACACCTCGCTCAAGCTTAAGCGCCTGCGCATCCTCAGCGCGCCGCCTGCGCCGCACCCCGCCGCGCAGCAAGAGCCCGCATCGCGACCCACCAGCGCCGACGCGAGTTCACCAACCACGCGCATTGCGCGTGCGCGGCCCGGGACCATGACGCTCGCGAGCTTCCTGTCAGCGTCGACGCCCTCGACCCCGACCGGCGCCGGGCCTGTGCCGCTGCACCCCGCCGCCTTTGCCGCCGCGATCGCGAGTGCGGCGCAGGACGGTACGCCCCCGCCGCCGGCGACGCCCATTGGGGAGAAAATCATCCAGTGGCATACGCAGAACGACCCAAGCTTTCTGGAGATGTCCGCTGCGTCGACGCCGGTGCTGCGCGCGCTGCCGGCGTTGCCGGCGGATCCGCCCGCGCCAGAGAGCGAGTATGCGGAGATTGTGTCGCTGCCGCCGCCGCGTCGTGGATCGCGTCAGATCTCGATCAAGGATATTGAGCGCGTGCCGACGCCGCCGCTTGAGCCTGAGGCCGTCCCGCTCCCGCGCGACGAGGAGGCAGAGGGCGCGGGCCCCGGCCCTGGGAAGCTCTTCTCGCTCTCGCGCCACGGCTCAGCCATTTCGCTCAGCATCGTCACCACGGTGGATGTGTAACAACATTATTTCTCATCTCTTCTCATCTATAGATCGTCAATCGGGTTCTCTGTTTCTGTATTGTTTTCTTTTTTGGCTCGTTCATTCGTCGCTGTGTTTGGTTCTTTTTTCTTTCTTGTTGGATTTCATTTACTTATACCTTTCGTGCCTTCGCTTACAACTCACTTGTACCACCACAACTGCTCCGCTTGGGGGCATGGATCACTACGTACCATATGCATACGCCGCATAAAATGTAACAGCTACATATTTTTTGATATAAATACATTTAGAAAATCGCCTTTTCGCAGTGTACAAGTGCGTCAAATTCATATTCTGCGGAATCCTCGTGGGTCTCTCTGGACTGCCAAATGGTTGGGATCGAGTTAAAGCAGTGGAAATTCTCCACCACTCCTCGTG